TTCTTTAGAGATTTAACTCCTTTTATTACTTATTGATTTTACGGTTTGTAATTAAAATCATATATGTTTGATCTTCTGGTTTGTCCAATTCAGTCTCGACATGAGCCAATGTATAATTTATAAGTAATACCTGTGATTTAAATAAAATAAAAAAAATAGAAACACAGTTTTGTTTTGTTCCCTTTGCGACTAATTGTTTGAAGTATTAAGGTTGATCCTCCAATAAATCCCTTTTCAAGGAAATAAAGAGCTTTAAAAATAGTCACTAGGAATCTTTCACCATGGACTTTATTCACTGTTTAATTCATCCATGTCGCATTTGGGAATATATATAAATAAATAAGCATTTATGCTTTAAAAGAAAAAGATGTGAATCTTGGTATATCGTATATAGAATAAAACTATATATGGTTTATCAAAATAATAAAAGGCATAAAACTATATATGTAAATAGAATTCAAACAAGCAATGGTTGACATCAAATGAAAAGATCATACTCATTAATATTTTTAATTCAATATTTATCTGTTTCATAATAGGCGTGTTTTAAAAAAAATGTCTATTAATATTAATTACCTTTTTTATACTCTTCATAATATTCTTTAGAAAATAGTTTTGTGTTACATTATTTTAGTAAAAAAACTTATCATAAAATTAATTTTGTAAAATTATATATATTTTTTTAACTTTTCTTATTTTGTGTAAAATAACTCTTAGAGAATACTGAGACATAGAGTAAGACTTTTATAGTTTTCCCCTAACATTGTTCATATTCTGCAATGGTCCTCTGTCATTGCATCCAATAAACATTACCCCACAAAGTTCCTTAGGCTTTCTCTTTTTGACCTACCAAATTAAATAGGAGATGGACACGCCTCGAGTATAAATTTGAATATAAAAAGGGTTGGGAAAGAAAGGCAGAGATAAGAGATGCCATTAGAATAATTATCTGACAAAAGTTTTGTTTTTTTGATTAAATTGCTCACAAAAGTTGAATTGTAAGCTATAGTTGTCCTCAAATATTATTGGCACACTAACCAAAATTAATGTTATATGTGACTATGATGAGTAGTAAGCGAAGCAAAGATTCTTAGGAATAGCCTTACACAAGGGCATACGATATGGATTGGGTCTGCAAATTCCTTTCTGGCAGGGTCAGGACGAATGTATACGATGGAATAGTGACAATGCCCCCACCTCTCACTCTCAATGATTTGGACCACTGTTTCAAGCTCAAGCATTGTTAAATCACCACTATTTTGTTTCATTGTCGCCAAAGTTTTAATTTGCAGTCATAATCACAGTTTTATAGTTATTTTGCTGGGTTTAATCCTGATACACTCTAGTTGTAAATGATTTTACACTTATTAATATGACTTTTAATATAACTATTATAAGAGTCCACAAATTTATTCTACATAACGGTTATGATTAAATAATTATGTAAAATATTTTTTTTTTGTTTTATCATGATTATCATTTTTTTAGGATAAAGATTAATCTCATTTGTAGTAATATAACTGTCAATGATCTAAAAAAATTTCTCACATAGTGGATATCAAACACAAGATTCCTTTTTAAGTAAAGTGTATTTACTATAAGTAAGTCCAGAGTGCTTAACCACTATCTTAATCAATTGAACTTTACGAAAATATTTAATGTATAGCCTTTTTTTTTCTCTATTTTAATATTATTTGGTTGTCATCAAAGTTTTAAATTGAGGTTATAATAATATAGTTTGGTCGTGAGCTTTGATATTATGAGAAATTATAAACAAATTTAATAGAAGATGTCACGGTTACAGTAATAATAAGTCCAAAATCTTGGCATTGGGAAGATTACAGTGTCTTATACGGTGAAACTTTTGAGTGTGACTTGTATAGACAATCCATCCTCAAGTGGCAAAGGCATTTTTTCTTTGTGATAACTCCGAATTACTTCTCGTTACCCGTCAATTCTGATGGGATTGGGGAAAAAAATTTGGACCAACAATATTTAAAGTAAAGTTCTTTCTCCTTCTTGCCACCCATTCTTGTGCTACGGCCACGGTGTTATCCTCATATTTATCACTCAATATAAAGTAAAAAACCCAACATTTCATTTATTCTTGGCTTTTTTCTTCAAATATGAAGTTGCAAAAAACGAAGACAACAAAGTTATGACTAGTCACTGTAGATATACGAATGAATGAGGCCATGACTAGAGTTTGAGAAATTTTGTTATAAATAATATAGGTTAAAACTCTTATTTGATCCTTTATAATATTTTTTTGTTTCAATTTAGTTCCACTTTAACTTTTTTGTTTCAATTTGGTTTCTAATAATTACAATTTAGGACTTCCGTCCAAATGATTTAAATGGAATTAACTGTTGGTCACGTGGATGCCAGGTGGATGTCACGTGGATGCCAGGTGGATGTCACGTAGATGCATAGGGGATGCCACGTAAATGCATAGGGGATGCCAAATTTCATGAATACACCTGGAACCAGAACGGTCCGTTCTGAAAGCAGAACGGTCCGTTCTGAAAGCAGAACGGTCCGTTCTGATTACACATGTTATGTGTTAATTTTACAACTAGAACGGGTCGTTCCAAATGTAAGTTTAACACACCATGAGTGCATCAGAACGGGCCGTTCTGAAACCAGAGCGAGCCATTCTGGTTTAAGAATGGGTCGTTCTGGATTTACAATATTGGTTTGTTAATTTTGCATCTGGAACGGCCCGTTCCAGTTGCAAAATTAACACACCCAGAGTGCAACCAGAACGACCCATTCTGGTTCCAGGTGTATTCAAGAAATTTGGCGTCCACCTACGCATCTACGTGGCATCTACGTGACATCCACCTGGCATCCACGTGACCAACAGTTAACTCCGTTTAAATCATTTAGACGAAAGTCCAAAATTGCAATAATTTAAATTATTAGGGATCAAATTGAAACAAAAAATTAAAATAGGACTAAATTGAAGAAAAAAAAATATTATAAGGAACCAAATAAGGGTTTTAATCAATAATATAATATGGCAGTGAACATATACAAAGTTTGTTTAATGAGAAATGACGTGTTAATATAAGAAGATGTTTTTGAAGTCATGATAACGTTAGAATTCTCACGAGAAGAGTGGTAGGAGCTGTCTCTGGAAAACTTAAAAGACAAATTGGTTGGTGAAGTTCGGGATGGATTAGCACGAGACAAATATAAATTTTGGCGAAGTGAAAAAATATGATGGTGTTTTGGCGTTGGATTGTGAAAGTTGCTTATGGAAGTAGGTATGACATTGTGAAAGATTCTAGAAAGAGAAAAGAGATGAGTCCGTGTCCCATGTGAAATTGTCACAGGTGCTATCTGAGTTGCAAATAAACAGCATCATAAAGAGGAGGACCATTTGCTTGTGAATGAAGACGTCCCTTTTTATCAGAATCTTATCCAACGCATGCATGTTGCTTTGACAATGAGAGAAAAGAATTTCTTTACCAAAAAATTCTCATATTAACGGTTAGTTTGTCTCTACACATTTTTAAGAAAAGGTAGGTTAATTTTTAATATGACTTGCACAATTATACATTTGAAAGTTTATAGTACATATTGCTAATCTAATCAGAGAATCGTGAGAAGCGTAACTTGTACGAGCATTGACAAAAAGCCAAAGAAATAAACTAAATTAAAAGGAAGGTGAGTTGGAAGTACTGTTTCATTTGGCTTATGGTTGTGAATGGGAAGAAGGACAAAGGGTACGTCTTCACTGAGGCCTCTCTTATTGGGTATCTAAATGATTATAATGTGAATTATCGTACGTAAGAAAAGGACCAGCAAAATCATAGCCTTCCATGGGACAGAGTCTAGAACCTACTTTTTCTCATAGCCATCCATTTTGTTATCAACCGTCCACTCTTACATTACATGGCAATGGCATGATACGTATCCAATTTCAACACAGCTGTCTAGTATGCATCATAGTCTTGTTTCAACGATTCAATAAATACATCAAATGATCACGTTAAGTCTAAATTTACGTATATTTCAGTTGTTAATCTCTGTCTAGTTTGTGTCATTGTAGGATCTTAGCAAATCCTTAATTTGCACTTTCTTTTTTTTTTGTTCTAGTATGAAGTAAAGCCTCGTGAAGTGAAGATGATCCTTAATAAAGTTGTTGACTGGAGACTTGAAATTTAAGTGTTTCTTTGGTCCAAAAACAATTTAGTTTTTCAAGTTAATCTTTTACTCCTACTTTTCAGACCATTCATCTGAGAGACTAATGCAATATGTCACTCCATTGAGTAAACAATCATCCAATTCCACTAAATAACACAATTCTTCTATCAATTGAACTAGTAAAGATTTCATCTAATAATAACGAAAATGTTAAAATATAAAATATCTAGACATTTCTCTAATCTCCTTGTTTTTACCTTCAGAGATATTACACTTGCCAGCAAAATTGATTTCTTGCCACTTTCATTTCATGTAAATAATATTTCCTTCTGTTTAACACGAAGTATTGTACTCTTGTTTTCAATTTTTTCCTTTCAAATTTTCTCCTTTTACTTTAAATTTATAAAAAGATCCTTCGAATCTCACAACAATGTTTAATATTAATAACTACCCAATCTTAAATTGTCTCCGGTAATTCGCAAAAAGAATTACAAATTAATCTAACCGCTGATGGATGGCCATGCCACACCATTACTGCAACATCAATCAGATGACTATTCTGTCTGACGTCAATTTGTGCGGCTCACAAAAATCTTAAATTGTTTTTTTTTCACAAAATAAATTAGAAAATTCCCCCGTCTAACTTTTTCAAATTTGAAATACACAAGTTAATTTAAATATATAAAAGAAATTTATTTTATTTTAACTTATTATCAAAGAAAATTAATCTTATTCAAACATGCCCAAATTCAGCCTTAGAACCGAAGACTGCAACAACCATGAATCAACAGACCCAAAATAATCGAGTCCGTACAATAACGAGCGAGAGTTAACTTGGCTGCAACCAGTAGTAAAAGGCATTAAAGCACAGACGATTGTATTTGTTAAGTTTTGCATTAGCCAACGGTTTTGTTTCTGTAAGATGAATTCCACTGCATGGTTGACAGTACACGCATAATCTTATGAAATAAAACAAGAATATGCAGAGTACGAGTAGGAGGGAAAAAAAAAAAAGCAAAATACAAGGTTGGATTTACTGCCTGTGAAGTATATGAGTTAGACGATAATGAGGACAAAACCAAAAAAGAAAGAATATGTATAAATGCATCTCTAGCAGACGCCAGAATCAGCTCTCAATCATTGGTTCAGGACCAGATGCTTCACTGCGAGTTCTGTTTGCTTGATGAACGGAGTTAAACAGAATGTCCTTGATAACCTACATACAAGAAATTGATCATTAAATTTGAGCAGCCTTGAAAATAATAATTTAACAAGCAGGAAGGAAACCCTGGGGGAAGGGGAGTCACCTGTGACATTAGACCATGCACTTGCTCCACAGTTATTTTTGCACTGTCACGAGTAATCTTAGCAAGAGGAGATTCTTCCTGCAAATCATGGAAGTGTAAGCATCAGGTATGTAAGGAGACAAAATTGTGGGAGTGGTATTGATGGGTTATGGTTTACAAAGTTGATGAGTAACTGAAAGACCTACTGTACATTTGCATGGTTATGTATCAGTTCCAATTTTCTTATCTCATTTAACATTTAAAAAAAATATTTAGATTCAAATATTCAACAGTCAATTACAAATTCTTAATTAACAATTGCAATTTGTCCCAACATTTTGGTTTTGTGGCAGGTGTACACTTTTTTTCAATAAAAAAATAAGAGCTTTTTGGAGACTGGGATTAAAGAAAACGGAATTTGAGATAGAGACACAAAAATAGTTTATCCCTCCATTTTGAGAAGGGGGTATATACCATAGTAGTCAATAGCGGCCGGAGCGGCCGCTATCGCGGCGCTCCGGAGCGGAG